GGCCAAGCGTGATGCGTGGCTGGCAGAGATGGAGATCCAGTACGGCGCGTCGCTGGCACTGCTTTTAAGGCCGTCGGCCAGACCTCCCGCACCGACATCCAAACGAGTCTACCCGGTGCAACTCGTGCTGCAGTGCATCGAGGTGTACCGCGCACTGCACGACCAGAAACCTGTGCCACTACTCTTTCACGTTCCGCTGCGTGACGCCAAGTGGCCCGCTGCTGCGTCGCTGATGCCGCTGGGGCTCTTTGTCTGGGCGGCGCGGGACCAGTGGGCGAATCTCGACCCGTTGGTGCGCGCTGCGATCTCTGCGTTTGGTCTGTCGCCCGACGTTTTTGCTGCCGACAACGACGATGCGATCGATGCCGACGTCGGTGCCGTCGAAGACGGCGACCAACTCAATGACCGAGACATTGCTGGCCCCGTCAACGACGACCCGAGAGACGAGAACAACGATCTCGCCAACGAAGCTGTCGTGATGGATGTTGTGCCTGCAGTCGTCGCCGCCGATCCAGCGCTGCCCGATGCCATTCGCCCCGACGACGGAGCCATTAACGCACGCGATGAGCTGGCAGCGCCTCGCCAAGTCTACCGTCCCGCTCGACCGCCAGCCGACGGGTTTGACTGGCCACTGCTGCTGGGTGCGTTGTCCTGGTATTTCATCGTCCAGAAGCACTCCGACGTTCCTGCTGCGTATGTCACAGAAGGCAACGTCCCGCTGGGCGACCTCGTCCGTCAAATTCGCCAAGGACACGTCCTGCTGCGACGCGAGCGTCTCGAGGCACTCGACCGCCTCGACTTTGACTTTTCGTGCGCCATGTACAACTAATTCATTGCAATGTTTACGTAATCCTTTTTGCTAGTCTGTCTTGGTCTTTTTCCCCGAGCTGCCGCTGTAAACCAACGTTCGATTGCTTCTCTTGCGCTTCACAAACCATGTTAGAGGAAGGTTGAGCCACTCGATTTTGCAGTCGCAGCGACATCGGATACCACTGTTCTCGTGCACGAGCAATCATCGGCAGGAGTCCAGTCGAGGCAATCCACTCGATAAAGCCAAGGCCCGCCGAATCTTGGACCTTTGCCTACCCAGAGCCGTCGTTATGAGCCCCTTGATCACACTTAGTCTTAGTCGATCTTAGTCGTTGATCATGTTGATCGATGGTCTGCACAACAGCAGATGTCCGAGAGGCGGGTCTGAAACCGACGCAGTTACACAAATGGGCGCTGGGGCGTCGACGCAGGACCTCCGGCAGCTCAGTGCCTCGGCGATTGCCGCCGAGGTCGTGGGCTTGGGCTCGGCTTACGCGCCGTACGAAGCCGGCATCCTCGCCAACGGCGTCGACGGCGACGTCGTCGCGCACTTGCAGTCGGAGCAGCTACCGATGCTCTTTGGCACCCTCGGCGTCACCAACACGATTCACCAAACGAAGCTGGCATCGCTTCACAGTCAGCACCGGAAGGCGCTGCTCACGCGCAGTCTGAGCATGGCTGGCCACATGACTGCCAAGCTCTCCACCTCGCCCCGCCAGCCCAAGGCGTTTGACGTCTTCTTGTCGCACAACTGGGGCCACGACGAACTCGGGCGCGACAACCACGCGCGTGTCGCCAATATCAACGCTTTTCTGCGCCAAAAGTACTCGTACATTCGACGCTTTAACAATGCTGACGCCCGATGCTGTAGCGAGATCAAGACGTGGTTCGACCAAGACAAAATGCATGGCAACATCCTCAAGGCGATGGCCCATGGCATCGAAGAAAGTCAAATCGTGCTCATTTTTGTGACGCAGTTGTACCAGACCAAGGTCAACGGCGACAACGCCAACGACAACTGCCAGCTCGAGTTTGGCATGGCCAAGACCACGCAGACCGCGCAGTGGATGATCCCTGTCATTATGGACCCGTGCATGAAGACGCCGCGCCACTGGTGCGGGCAGTTCAAGCTCGTGCTTGCCAATCAGCTCTACGTCGACTTGACGTCGGATGAGGACGACGCGTTCATAACCGGGTGCAACACCCTCCTCCAACGCATCGATGGGCTCCTGCTCAAGCTCGGGCGGCCCTCGGTCCTGCCTCCGACGCACCGAAGTTCACAAGAGACGCAAGCACCGTCGTCGCCTCGCACGACCGACAGTGCGAGCGAGCTCGTTACGCTTTTTGCGACGTGGCAGCGCGCGATTGAAGCCCACGGCGTGGACGCTGAGCAAGATACCGTCGCGGCCATCGTTGACCAGCTCTCGTCGCCCGAGGTGGCGTTGCCCTCCATGGGGTTTCCGTGGTCGTGTCTCGTGCACGGCTTTACCTCGTTGTCCCTCGGGCTCCAAGACGATGCGTGTGCGATGAGCGTACTGCTCCTTGATCGGCTACCGACGACCGCCGAGTCGCTCCTCTCGTTTCCAACCGTGCTGCCTTTTCTTCTCGAGGCCGTGACGCACCCCCTATCTGACGCACCACCCAACGCGATCGTTTTGCTGTGCAACCTCAGCAGCATCGAGACGGCGGCGCCTGCGCTCTTGGCGTCGCCTGTCATCGAGCGTCTCTTGGCGTGGACAGCGACCGAGGTCGACGACCACTGGCTACCGCGCCTCGAAACCGTGGCGAA